GCAAAGCGCTCAAGGCGCCGATGGCAGCGCCACACGCGTTCCCGTCGACACCGCGGACGCCGGCCCACGACAGCGATGACGAGCTCGAGGGCTACGAGATGTCGTCGCACTCCGCGACGCAGTTTCTCCTCCGCGCCGAGTCGCGCGAAGCCAACAAGGCGGCGATTGTCGGCGCCAACGAAGCGAGCAGTGACGAGAGTCATCTCGCCAAGGTGGACGTGCGCACGCTTCTCCGCACGCTGCGCGAAAGCGGCTTGCTCGAGAACGACCCGCGCCTGCGCAAGCTCGTCGACAACGTCAAGCTCCTCGGCCTCGACGCGACCTTGTCGTACGAGCAGTACCGGTACCTCACGGAAAGCGGCGCGATCCTGCTCGAGAAGGCCATGGCGCACGCGCTCGTCATCCCCAACTTTGGCGAGTTCTGCGACGAGGTACTACCTTCTTCCCTGCCACGACGATGTTCGGAATGAGCCTTTTGATGGGGTAGATGATTGATATTTTCGAGCGCGCCAAGCTCAACCGCGACGGCCACATTGCGACGTACATCCCGCAGCTGGCGAACGTCGACCCCGAGAAGTTTGGCATGGCCCTCTGCACCGTGGACGGCCAGCGCTTTAGCCTCGGGGATGCCACCGACACCTTTTGCGTCCAGTCGTGCAGCAAGACAATCTCGTACTGCTTGGCGGTCGAAGAACTGGGCCCGGAAAAAGTGCATTTTCACATGGGCTGCGAGCCGAGTGGCCTCCGCTTCAACGACTTGAGCTTGCTCGAGCGGAACGGCTTTCGTATTCCGCACAACCCGATGATCAACTCGGGTGCGATCATGTCGTCGTCGCTCATTCGGCGCGACTTGCCGCTGCACCAGCGGTTCGAGTACGTCATGTCCATCTGGAGCGCGCTCTGCGGCGACGTCAACGTCGGCTTTGACAACTCGGTGTGTCTCTCGGAGCGGTCGTCGGCCGACCGCAACTGCTGCCTCGGCTACATGATGCGCGAGGCCGAGTGCCTCCCGGACGACACGGACCTCATGGAGACCCTCGAGTTCTACTTTGAGCAGTGCTCGCTCACGGCCAACTGCGCCGCCTTCTCGGTGCTCGCGGCGTCGCTCGCGACCGGCGGCGTCTGCCCGCTCACGAACCACCGCATCTTCAAGGCCGAGACCGTCCGCAACTGCCTCAGCCTCATGTTTTCGTGCGGCATGTACGACGCTAGTGGCACGTGGAGCTACCGCGTCGGCATCCCGGCCAAGTCGGGCGTCTCGGGCGTCCTCCTCCTCGTCATTCCCAACGTCATGGGCGTCGCGCTCTGGTCGCCGCGCCTTGACGAGATTGGCAACTCAGTGCGTGGCATCCAGTTTAGCGAAGAGCTCGTCCAGCGCTTCGCATTCCACAACTTTGACGCGTTCGTCGAGCACAGCAAGCTGCCGTCGCCCGTCTTCCGCGGTGGCGCAACGAGCTCGGGGGTCGCCCACGACGCCAAGCAGCGCCGCAAGCTGCTCTACCCTTCGCTCTACGCCGCGTACGAAGGCAACGTCGAAGAGATCCGCCGCCTCAAGCTGCTCGGCGCCGACGTACGACTTCCGATCTGATGGATGGTTTTGGATAGCTTATGAACCAACGTGTAGGTCAACGCCGCCGACTACGACGGACGCACCGCGATGCACATTGCTGCGTCCATGGGCCACGTCGCCGTCCTCAAAGAGCTCGTGTACCAAGGCGGCAACGTGCACGCGGTCGACCGCTGGGGTGGCACGCCGCTCTCGGACGCCACGCGCTACGCCCCGTCCAACGCGGACGCCGTCGTCCACGTTTTGCAACAGGCCATGCGCGCGCACGCATAGACGTTGAGATATGGATCATAGACGTGGGTTGCATCCATCGAGAGGACACTTGGGCTGCACAAGGGCCTCGATACGCCTGTCTGCAGCACCGCCATGGCCGGCGTGTTCCATCGAGTCGTAGTTTAGTTGGTCACGCAACACGTGGATCACACGGGCAAAATATCGACTAGTAAAGCAAACGACGACTACTGGCTCACGAGCTGGAAGAAGATGGCGAGGAAGAGCATAAAGACGATGAGCGGGATGTACTCGACGAGCGACGAGCTCTGCGTCTTCTTGACCTTGGCGCCCGGGTACGTCTTCTTGGCGGGGAGCGCGCGGGCCTTGGCGGCTTGCGCCGACTTGGGCGCTTCGACCGTCGGTGTCGGCGTCACGGGGGTCGCCACCGTTGCCACCGGGAGCCCGCCCTTTTGCCGGGCGTCGTTTACGAGCTCGCGCACCTGCGCAACGACGTTGTCGTCCTTGGAGGCCTCGGCGGCCGCAAGACCATTGGCGAAATGGGCTTCGGCCGCGTCCTTGTTGCCTACGAGATGCATGTCAGTCTCTCTTCCATCGTAACCAGCATGTCCAAGTACCTCGCTTGAGCGCGAGGATGCCCGTGGCGATCTCGGTGAGGCATTGAATGCGGCCGTTCTGGATGCTGCTGGCGTCGCACAGGGCCGAGCACTCGGCGAGCGTCTTCTCGGCTTGGTCAATCTCGCCGAGCTCGGCCTCGCAGTACGCCTTGTTGCAGAGCGTGTCGGCAATGTCGCTGGAGATCTTGGCCAGAATCTCGTCCTTCTGGTCGTTCTCGATGCGCGTTTCGACGTCGGCCTTGAACTGGCGCAAGGACGCTTCGACCTTGAGGAGGTTCTCGCGCTGCTCCGAAACCTCTTCCGAGAGCGCCGTGAGCTTCTTAAACACTTCGGCAATGACGTGCTGGGGCGGAATCGGCTTCATCGCATGCGCGCGGTCCAGCATCTCGTGGAGCACCGTCTTGCAGTTGGCCTTGGTGTCAAACTCAATGTAAAAATCGGCTTGGAGCTGGAGCAGTTTGAGCACGAGAAACTTCTCTTCGTTCTCCATCGGCTCGTACGGCAGCGCACGCACTTCGTCCCAGAGCTCGTCGAGCGCCGATGCCTGCTTCGGGTCCTTCCCGCCGCTCTTGAAGGCGTTGACGCCATGGACGACGAGCACTTCGAGGCAGCTCAGGACGCCCTTGAACTCCTTCTGGGACACGAAGAACGCATGCGTCGACTGGACGAGGTTGATGTGCTTCATCGGGTCCGTGATCTTGAGTACGTGCATCTGAATGTACATGAGCGCGATCGCCGACTTGAGGTCCACGCGCGCGCACGCCTCCTGGAACGCCTATAGAGATGATGCAACATGAGACGAGATGGAGGAAGAGACGAGTCGTACCTCGGTGATGCTGGCGAGCGCGAGGTCCGGCTGCTGGTTCTCCGTGTGGAGGCGCGCGATCCACTCGTTGCACTGAAACACAATGTCCCACTGCTGCGCCATCGTCGCGATTTCCTTGGCCTTCTTGACGTACTTGAGGCCCTCTTCCGTCTGCTTGAGCATGCCGCACGACCGCGCCGCGTGCAAGAGCAGCTTGACCATGCGCTGCGGCGGCGCGCCGGCCTGGACGCCAATCATGATCGCGCCTTCGAGCGCCTTGACGCACATCTCGGCTTCCCCGAGCACCGTGTGGCACGCCGAGAGCGCTTCGAGGAACTCCATGCGCCGCTCCGGGTGGGGCATGTCCTGAAGCGCCTGCACAAAGTGAGGAATCGCTTCGCGGTGCTTGTCCTGCTTGAAGAGCGCCATGCCGATGCTGCCGTTGATCGCACCGCACGCGTCGCGCCGACGGACCTTCTTCGCTTCTTCCAGTGCTTGCTTGAAGAATGTCACCGTGTCGTCAAGGTTCTCCGCCTGGAAGGCTTCGTTCGCCTTGCCCATGAGCTCCTTCATCTTGCCCTCAGCGGCCTGCGCGATGGCCAGCTGCTCCAAGTCACCTGCTACGCCTTCGTCCCCCGGCATGCCTTCGCTAGCCGCCTTCAAGTCGTTTTCAGCGTCTTGGACAAAACCCATCTGCATGAACGCGTGGCCACGAAAGTGCAAAGCCTTGTGCAAGGCCGGGTTGACCTTGAGGATCTCCGAGCAGAGCGGGACGACCTCGTGGTGCAGGTCTTGCTTGATGAGCGCGATCGCGAGGTTCATGCGGCACGACTCGATAAAGATGGCGGGCGCGTCCGTCGGCGCGTGCGCAAGGAGGTCCTTGTACGCAGTCGCGCCTTCCGCAAACTTGCCATTCTCCATGAGGGCGTGGGCCTGGAGCCGCATGGCCTCGGCCTTCGGCATGCCGGTCGGCGCCGCCGGCGCAGCGGGCGCCGCCACCACGGGCGCGGCCGACTCGTCGTCCGAGTCTTCGAGCTTGTCCCACTTGGAGTAGTCGGTCATCGTCCTGGCGAATTCGAAAATATCGACACGTGTGTGAATTCCTCGCAGTCAACTCTGAGAATATCGATAACTAGAGGTATCATTTCTCAGAGGTTTGGCTAGACGCACGCAATATTAGCGCGCGTACGTGGCACGTCCTGCGAGGCGTGCCAAGTGCTCAGTCGAAATGCATGCGTCTCCCACTGCTGCGCCCACATCGACCCCCCGCGACATATAGTAGAGTACCTTTGCTGCAGCGACGAGGCCAGGACGCTGCAAAGCGCCCTACAGCAAAAAGCACCAGCGACAGCAACCCGTGGGCTTGCTGGCGCTGCGAGCTGCAGCAGTCGGACGCGCGATGTGCGACCAAAAAGAGCGCTGCACGTCTTCCGTGAATATGAAGCGATAAAGAATGGCTCATGATGCAACACCTACGAGGATACGCTGGCGGAAGGCGTCCGGCATCCTTGCGATGACCAAGCTGCGCAGCCATCAACGAGACGGCCAACGGTCGCAGCGTGTGGTCACAAGCAGCGCGATCACATGAGCACCATTGCACGATCACTTCGTACCAGATGATGCATCCTCGTCCCGAAAGCGCGCCAGAATGGACAGTTGGCGACGTCGTCGGCATGATGATAACCAGGTAGCAAGATGCCAGTATGCCAGTATGCCAGTATGGTTGTGGTAGCCTTGTTGACCTGCTCGAGACACCGCTACCGTCATGCTGCACGCCAAATCGACGTTGCCCCGCATCGCGAGTAGCCAGCATGCAATTCATGATAGATTAGGATACAATCACCACAGGACTTAGAGCTCGACGTCCTTGGCCTCAGCGAGCATCGCTTCGTTGTCCTGACCATCGTCGTCCGTGTCTTCATCCTCTTCGTCTTCCTCGTCGTCCTCGTCGTCGTCACTGCTCTCGCTCGAGTCGTGGGCCTCCGCATGGTTGTCTACGCAGCAGTGTGACGACACGAGAATGGGGAAGCGCTGAAACGACCGACAACGAGCTTGAGCTGCAGCGCGGTCTGGAGGTTCTTGATCAACTGGTTCGCCGGCTCATGCGCCAAGACTAGAGACATTCCTGTCACGTCGCCATCGGAGTTGGCCGCGTACTCTGCTGCGCGAGTGCGAGCGCCTCTTCCGTCTCCTCGTCCTCGAGGTGCCCAAGAAACTAATGCACATCCTCATCCGCCAGCATATCCAGCCATGACGTACCGTCGTAATCATCTCGATCGGCGCCTTCCCGTCGGCCCAAGCGCCATCGATCTCGTCCGAGAGCACCTTCTCGACGACATGGGGCTCCCGCAAGTCTACGCACCATGCTTACCCTCTCATCGCGATGGCCGTCTACCTGCGGGGTCCTCGCTCTTGCTGCTCGCAAGCGCCGCCTTGATGCTGTCCATCGCCAAGGGTCGCGGAAAGATCGGATGTGTCGAAACAAGTACGATGCTCGGTCAGGTGCGGTTTCGCGCTGGCTATCATGAGCCTGGGGACAGCCTTCTTGGCTGGTGCCGTTCATGGCCGCCTCGTACTCTTGCCTTGGCTGCTCATGCTATACCACGAGCCTCCAGCAGCTTCATTTCCCATCGGCTGCAAAGCTTGGAGGAGGATGCGTCCTCGACACCCATGTGCTCAGCAGTTGCGAGGTATGACGTGGCACGCTACGGTGCGTTCACCTGGGCGGTAGCATGCGCTGATGGTTGGTTCACCAAGTCATTGGAGCTAATTACGACCAATATGACATGGTCGACAAGCGCCCGCGACCGCGAATGCGACTGCATGTGATGCTCAAGGTCGAAGACGCGTCGACGGACGGTCCTGCATGCGTGGACTTGATTGGACAGATGCCTGCGTGACGCCGGCGCGCTGTTCTTGCGAGTCGACGCTCCAGCGCGCAGTCATCAATGGAGAAGGAACCACAAGCGCAGCGCACCGCAAATGCCTGCAGCTACTCAAGCAGTCGACCCGCGAGTCGGCTATGGCACTTGCCGCGACTTGCAGCTCGCAGAGCGTTCCCGCCGCATCGCGCATATGCTCTCTAAAGTGCGTTACCCGTTGCCGAATTATGTCCGGCAAGGCTAATCACACGCCATATTCATGTCCATCGGGTTGCGCTCAAAGGTCCCGGACTGCCAACGAGGGACCTGGCAATGCTACATTGGGCTACCCATTTGTGAGAGGCGTAGTACCTTGGGTAGCCAGCTCATCGAGCGTACCACCGACGATGCTGCAATCTTGGAGCACCACAGTTTCTTGCATTGATGGTGCTCGGGCAGGGCATATAGTAGCTAGTATGTACACCTGGCTCGGAGGAGCTCGACGATCCCGCCTAGCGTGGATGATGACAGTGGTCATAGCAGAAACACGAAGAAGGACTCAGCACTTCGATGCATAGTAAGCTTAAGCAGATGCGCCCCACAGGCGGCATCTTTCTCGGGTCTCCCACTGCATTCTCAGAGCGATTTCTCGCAGTAGCCAGACGTAGAAGAGAGCGGTAGAGAAGATGCTCGCTGCTCTCCAGCTTGGCTTGGACCCAGCCATAGAGTGCCTGCCGTCGTCCTGTGCCTGCCCCTTCAGCTGCGCGCAAGTTGCGTCCGATTAGTGTCCTGCCTGCACGGTACTTTGCATATCATTTGCCGGCGCACTTAACGCGTGTCGTCCCGTTGGCGTAATAAACACGAGGGTCAACAATTTTGCAGGATGGCGTCGCGATGGGATGGGGCTGGCGTGCCCGACGTGCTCATCGCCCACGCCGCCGTCGTCTGCGCGGCCGTGGCCAGCGGCGACGCCGACCGCTTCCTCCATGAAGACCCGACCGTGCTGCCCTACTCGGTCTACTTCAACCTGCCACCGCTCTACGCGAGCGACGAGTTTGTGCTCGTCGAAACGCCCGACTGCGTCGTCTGCTGCGTGAAGGCGCCTATGGTCGCGCAGCAGCTCATCGAGGTCACCGAGCGGCAGACGACCTTTCAATATGCTGGCCGCGTCCACGCCTCGTTCCATAAGCGCGCCGTGTACATTCGCTCGGTGTTGGAAGAGCTCACCGAAGCGACCAAGCCGCTCGTCTTTACGGGTCACTCGACGGCCGGTAGCATTGCGCAGCTCTGCCTCCTCGAGACGCTCTTTCGCCACTGCTGCTCGGACGAACTGCAGTTTGCGATCGAAACCATTGACGCCGACCACCGCCAGAAGAACCCGACCACCTTGTCGTCGCTTGACGAGCTCAACGAGTCGCTGCAGCTCGACCTCGAGATGCTCTTGCCGCAGCCGTCGGTCGCCGCCGAGATGGCGCGGCGCTTCTTTGCTATCGGCTTTGGGGCACCGTGTGCGGCAAGCGCCAACTGCCGGGAGCTCTTTACCTCGCTGGCGCTGCCGCTGCAACTGATCACGCTCGTCAACGAGTACGACTGCATCCCGTCGATCTACAACGTCGCGCAGGCGTCGTCGCTGGCCGCCAAAACCACGACCAAGTTCATTGCGATCTCCAAAGCGACCGCGTCGCTCCTCGGGCTCTTCCCGACCGTCGAGCGCCTCGACATGGAGGGCAGCGGCCTCAACCTCGCGCCGAGCGTCTACATCAAGATGACGTGGTGCATCCTCGCGACGACGGCGTATGTCAACATGACGTGGTCAGTGCTGCACAAGGTCTTCCGGCAGTTCCAAGACCACGTGCTCGGCCCTATGTGGCGGGACGTCCAGTACGTCCCCTTTGGCCGCTACGCATTCTTGTCCAAAGATTCGTTCGAGCTTGTCGTGCAAGACGATGCGGATGCGATCCTCGGGACGCTCCAGGCGACGCTCGAGGTGCTCTCGGCGCACGCGCTCTGGCAGCACGTCATGCCCGCGTACCTCGCCCAAGTGCTCAAGCGCGTCGACGACCGCCACCCGGACATGGACCACTACGAGCGGCTGCAGGTCCCTCGGGACGCCTCGTCCGCCGCGATCGTGGCAGCCTACCGGTCGCTCGCGCTGCGCTGGCACCCGGACCGGTGGTCGCGGTCGTGCGACTCGGCCGAGCTGGCGTTTGCCGAAGACATGTTCAAGCTACTGGCCGAGGCCTACGAAGTGCTCTCGGACCCGACGACCCGCGCCGAGTACGATGCAAGCCTCGCGCACGCCAAGTGCGCGAACGCCAAACTCTTTCCGATCTCATTGGACGACGCGCTGCTCCTCTTTCAGCGCGAAGCCGACAAGTGGCAGTGGGTTGTGCGTCCGATGGCGCGGTCGGCGAGCAATGCGCTGGGCGTCGCGCGTGCCAAGCTCACGCCGCACCGCTTCGAGACGGGCAACCACGACAACGTCTTCCTCGGGCACAAGATGCGCGTCTTGCGGGAGGATGCCACCATCACGTACGTTGGCCGAGACGACGTGCTCCCAAGTGACCGACCGGTGCCGTCCAAGCTCTCGGGTCTCACGGCCGCGTCGGTGGTCGGTGGCGCCGTCGCACTCGGCGCGGGCGTTGCACTTGTCATGAACGCGTGGTCCCAGTACAGCGACAGCATGAAGCGCCAGCGACAAGCCCACACGGTCCACCAGATGCCACCGCTGTACCTTGAGCGACTGTTGACCGACGATGTCGACGACGACGACAGCCTCCAAGTCCTCGAAGAGTTTTACGACTGTCTCGACGAGCTCGAGCTCGCTCGCTTGCAGCAGTCGGCCGAGGACACCTTCTTCGACTGCCTCGAGAGCACGCTGACGATCTGTGACGACACGGAGCACCGTGTCGTCTTCCCCAACGGCGCGTCGGTGCGGACGCCATTTGGATCGGGCGTCGTCGTCGACGCGTCGCTCGACGGTATCTACGAAGTCGAGATCCACGGGCTCGGCACGGCGTACGTGCAGCACAGCGACGTGCGGCGCGGCGGCGAGGCTGAAGTCCACGGAAAAGAGGCCCTCCTCGAGACCAAGCGCAAGGACCTCGTCGCGCTCGTGGTGAGTCGGTACGCATTGCAGTCACCGGCCCCCGCCTCGATGCTGGCGGTGGGCACCGACGCCGCGCTTGACAGCGGGGTCAAGGCCGCGGGCGGCGTCGCCCTCGTCAAAAGCATGGAGCGTCTGGCGCCGCGCGTCTCGTCGTCGGCGGCCCCGCTCGCGATAGCTGCGATCCTCGTCGACATTGGGCGCGAGTACATCGAGTACCGCGCCAACCGCAAAAAGCACGGCAAGTGGTCAACTGCGACGTCCGAGCGGCTCCTCATGCAACGCTTCCGCCTCAAGGCCGGATATCACGTGGCGGGCGGCACGGGCGCCGCCGCCGGAGCGACCCTCGGCGCGTACGGGCTCACGTCGAGCGTCGGGTACTGGACCGGCTCGGCGTTTCTCGGTCCTGTGGGGCTTGCTGCCGCCACCGGCGCCGCTGTCGTCGGTGGTATGCTCGGCTACTTTGTCGGCGCGTCGGCGTACAGTGGCACGACCAAAGGGTACTTTTCGTCGTTGGCGCGCGCGACCGATGAGATTGAGCGGCTCGAATTTGGCGCCAAAGTGCTCTTTACTGAGTTTGACCAGTCGGGCTCGGGCGCCGTGCCCATCGCTGACGGCGTCGCGCTCGTGCAAAAGCTGTGTCGCGCCGCGGGCCTCTCGCCGCCCGACGGCATGCCAACGTCCAACGAGACGCTCTCGTGGACGACGTTCTGGGAGTGGGTGAGCCTCGAAGCGGTGCGCAAGCTCGAAGCCCTCGAAGCCGAACAAGACGTCGAGTACAGTGGCGGGTGGTGGCCCCGGTACCTTGGCTCGTTTGTCTACGCTTCGCCGCCGGTGACCAAGCAGCTCCGGTCGCAGTCGGCGCCGGCGTCGCTGCTCAGCGCCGTTGTGGCAACGCCGCCCACATCGCTCGACCGGCCACGACGGCCGACAGTGACGAGCCGCAAGAGCCTGCACGTCGAAGCGGCCCAGCTCGAGTGCCTCGTCGACCACGACTGGCTCACCAAGGAGGACGCGTACCACCTCAAGACGCTCATGCTCTCGGACGACGAAGGGTTGCAAAAGTGCGCGCTGGAGACGATCCACACGATGCAGGAGGCGTGGGAGGTCGAGAGCGAGGGCGGCTGCCTCATCACGTCGGCCTTCTCGCCCGTCGACGCGCCCGAAGTCGACGACGCGCACCAAGTGGAAGTGAATGGCGCGCCGCGCTACGACGAGCGCGAGTGCTTGGACGTCATGTGCTCACTTCTCTCGGCGGACGGCGTGCGAAGGCTCTTGCTCGAGCACGGCGTCGACGTCCCGGACACTGCGTCGTTCACCCACCGCGACCTGCACGGCCTCGCGCTCACATATTTGGCCGACGAGCCGCTGTAGAGTTTACTATCGTAATTTGCAACTTGTTGTGTCATATGAGGCATCAACTACCACAGGTTTTGGCGGTCGCTTTCCTCGGCGAGGGGTGAGGGGGTGAGAGACGTGGACGATGCTGGGACCAGTGTCCTGACGAGGCACCCCAGAGTGGAGATGCTCAAAGAATATGGCAAAGCCTGTTGTCTGCCTCACTCTCAACGGACCAACTTCTCTAGGACGTGACTCATACGGCTGCACACACAAGGGAGGACGCACGGGTCTCATCGCCCAGCGTCGACAAGGCGATTCCTGCCGACCTAAAACGTGGTGGCGTGCGACCAGGTCAAGGCCGGTACCCGTCGAGGTGCAACTCAGACTCAACGCAAACTCAACGCAGACTCGACGCAAACTCAACGCAGACTCGACGCAAACTCAACGCAGACTCAACATCACGGCGCCATCACTATCGCGTGCAATCTCAACTACCTCATGGAGGGTCGCGCGTGGTACTTGACTGCCAACGCTGCCTCAAACATTGCTCGACGTGCGCACGCGGACAGTTGTAATAGTCTAACTTTTCAATATACTAGCATATCATTTTGCCGAGCTTAAAAACAACAGCGCGACCAACACGAGCCTCCCTCTCCATGTCTTGAAATGCCTTGGCCCATCTGCTGCCCCACGAACGACGAGAATAGGGTGTGGGAGAAGTCCAACGGCGCAGTCCGACGACTCGCAGCTCGTTCTGAACAAGGTACTGGGGCGAACGTCCTCGTCGCCCTCGTACTAGTAGAAATGCGCAAGTGCCTCTGAAATGAGGTTAAATGCGTTTAACCTACCGGACTACCAAACGCGAGTTTCTCCTGCTGTCGGCATCCAACGGCAACGCGACATGGCGTTTTAAGCTCCCCAAAGTCGTCTCTATATGCCTGCAACGTATGAGCGATTTCATTTCGAATG